CTGTTTTGATTACTGTAACCTTGTATTTACGACAAACCCATAGCCAATATCATACTCAATGGGGAAAAATTGGAAGCATTGCCTCTGAAAACTACCACAAGACAAGGATGCCCTCTCTCACCCCTCCTATAACACTGTATTGGAAGTTCTGGCCAGGGCAATCAGGCAAGAAAAAGAAATAAAGTGCATTAAATTAGGAAAAGAGGAAGTCAAATTGTCTCTATTTGTAGACAACATGACTGTATATTTAGAAGACCCCATTGTCTCAGCCCAAAATCTCCTTAGGCTGATAAGCAACTTCAGCAAAGTCTCAGGATACAAAATCAATATGCAGGAATCACAAGCATTCCCATACATCAATAATAGACAGACAGCCAAATCATGACTGGACTCCCATTCACAATTGAAACAAAGAGAATAAAATACCTAGGATTACAACTAACAAGGGGTGTGAAGGACCTCTTCAAGGAGAACTACAAACTACAGCTCAAGGAAATAAGAGAGGACACAAACAGATGGAAGAGCATTCCATTCTCACGGTTAGGAAGAATGAATATCCTGAAAATAGCCATACTGCCCAAAGTAATTTGTAGATTCAATGCTATCCCCATCAAGCTACCATTGATATTCTTCACAGAATTGAAAAAAAAGAAAAAACCTTAAACTTCACATCGAACCAAACAAGAGCCAGCATAGCCAAGACAATCCTAAGCAAAAAGAACAAAGCTGGAGGCATCACACTACCTGACTTCAAAAAGCGTTCTTTAAAACATTCTCACTACGCAAGTGCCCGTTTTAACATATTTTACCAACATAGGAAATTATGTCATTATGTCTAAAAGTTATGTGGCAGGCTGAAGGGTAAAACATATCATGTTGAAGTTTTGTTTAATGTTTTTCTAAATTGATTTTATTTTTTTAGAGACAGGGTCTCACTGTGTTGCCTAGGCTGGTCTGGAACTCCTCCTGCCTCAGCCTCAAACTGCTGGGATTACAGGCTTGAGTCACCGCACCCTTCCTAGTGTGTGTGTGTGTGTGTGTGCTGACATGCAATATTTTTCTAAAATATATATTCCCTACACTATATTATTTTCATCTCTCACTTGCTTATTCATGACCTTAACCTATTTTTTATTAAAGTGTTTTTATTTATATTGGTTGATTTATAAATGTTCTTTTATACTAAGGATGCAAATGGCTTGTCTTCTGTATTACAATTATTTCCCCAAGTTTCATTTGCCTTTTAGTTTATTTATAAAGAATTTTAATAAACAATGTTGTACAGTGGCACATAGAAGTTCTCCTTTATGGTTTATTAATTTTCTTTTAGGATAGAGAAACCTTTCATATTTATATATCAGATAACTATGCACCCTTTGTTTTTTGTGTTTATTAAAATGGTTTGCACAGCACTGTAGTAAGGGATGTATTTTTGTTTGTTCCTGGTCATCTTTTTCTAGGCCATCATGTGCTTCTTCTTTTATTTAAGCCAGGCCAGGAGGTGCTGGTTGCCTCGGAAAGAGTAAGGTGGTGGAAATGGAAGATGATGGAGCCACAGAAGCTGCTGTGAGTGTCCTGGGGAAGCACTGCCTTCTGTGTCCTCCTCCCCCAGCAGCTCTCCCCCGGGTGACCTTGAGGACTATGGGCCAGGGATTGAGGCCAGATAGAAATGAGGATGTCTGCGGTGATTCTCATGGGATCTGGGAGATGCCAAGATTCACAGTGAGTCCAGCTCTCAGCCCAGCCTGGGGCAGGGCAGTAGGGATGCTTCCACGACCACTTCAGGTCCTGGAGTTCAGATGCTGAGATGATGCCCACACTTTCTTCCCCATCCATGTGCTGGAAGGAGCCTCTGAATGTCTCCCAAGCCTGTAGTGCATGAAGAAGAGATTATGGGAGAGCTCAGGAGATGCCCGGGAGAGAGGCTCACCGGAAAGGCAGCAGCAGCAAGGATCGGGTGCCCACTCCCGATTCCCGGTGCTCCCCAAGACCCTGGAGGACCTGCCACCATCCCTGGGCCCCGCCCTGACTAAGAAAACCCTAACTGGAAGTTTATTACATCCCTGCCACGCTACAGCAAGAAGATTACAAATAAAAATGAAGTAACATTAGAAAAATAAAGAGACATTTCCTGTACATCTGAATGTAGGGAGTCAGGCTTTGTATCCATGAAGTTATTTTAGTGTGCGCGTGTATGTGCATGTGTGTGTGCATGAGTGCATGTGTGTACATGTATGTGTGTCTGTGTGTGCGTGCGTGTGTGTATGCGCGTGTGTGTGCATGTGTGTGTGTGCGCGCACGCATCTGGGTGTGCGTGTGTGCATGTGTGCGTGTGTGTGCATACGTATGTGTGCATGTGTGTGTGTGTGTGTTTTACTCCTTAATCCAGTGAATTTCTATAAGAGTATAATACAATGTAAAGATTTGCCATTTTTGAAAAGTAATTCCTACTAGCTTCATAAGCCAGCTATTTGCCATTTAGAAGTGTGTGTTTGCACGTGTATGAGAGAGAGAGAGAGATTTACCAGTAATTTAAAATGGCACATTTATTATGTATCAAAATCTAATGACATTCTGATAAATTCTGGGTCTGTCATCTCTGGGCTTTTTATTCTATACATTATCTAGTCTCTGTTTTACCATGGGCATTGGATGGTTTCGGGCAATTGCTGAAGTCTTGTAATGTGTTTTAGGATTGGTCTACACTCATGCCCACTGCCTACACTCTTGCTGACAATAACTTCCTTCTCAATATCTTCTTGGAATTCTTGCCCATTTGGAAATTTCTTGTCATAACCTTGATTTTACGAGATGCTGTAGGTGGGATTTATACCTTTACTACACTGGTATTATGATGGGATTTATGCCTTTACTGTATTGATCTTACGATCGAGGATTGCAATATGCTTTGCTATTGATTCAAGCCTCTTCTTACTGTCTTCAGTATAGTTTTATAGTTTTATTTATGCAGGCTCTGTACATCACTTCAGGATCTATCACTAGGTAGTGAAATCGTTTGTGTTTTCTGATTATTGGTTTTTTTTCACTGTTTGCTTATTTGTTATTTTGTCACTATATTGGGGAAGAGATAAGGACCGTATCTATTCCAGCAAAGGAACATCATGTCTGTACGTGTGTGCGTTTTTTTAAAAATCTATTTGATGAAGCTATTTTACTAGAGGCCTCATTTCCTATCATGTTTTATTTTTTCAGCAGAGCAGCCACACCACACTTTCCATGTGTTTGGAGCAGACTGATTTTATACCATGGTTCCTGCCCTCTCCCTGCCTTAGAGAGCGCCCTCTGTGCTTAGGAGAGGCCCTGTCCTCAACTCATTTATAATCCGCACCCCTGCGGCTCCCAGGCAGTGACTTTTACATGGGGCTGTCCACTGCAGCCAGTGAGAACTCTTCCTCTCCCCGATATCTCATCCCCTTGCAAATCAGAGCAGCCAGGGAAGCTGGGCAGAGATCCTCCCCTTTTCTTCTCAGAATACCGCACTCCCGACTCTCTCAAGAAAAAATTAAATTCAGTCCTAGGCCACGTGCTTCCATCTAACCGGGAATTATATTTTGAATGGTGAATGCTGCCACCCCCAGGGCATTAGGAAGCCTGTTAGATAGTTGTTTTTTTTTAATATTCCTAGAGTTTTTATTTTTATTTATTTATTTACTTCCATAGGTTCTTGGGGAACAGGTGGTATTTGCTTACATGAGTTAGTTCTGTAGTGGTGATTTGTGAGATTTTGGTGCACCCATCACCCAGGCAGTATGCACTGAACCCAATTTGTAGTCTTTTATCCCTTACCTCCTTCCCACCCTTTCCCCCAGAGTCCCCAAAGTCCACTGTGTCATTCTTATGCATGTGCATCCTCATAGCTTAGCTCCCGCTTACGAGTGAGAATGTACGATGTTTGGTTTTCCATTCCTGAGTTACTTCACTTAGACTAATGGTCTCCAGCTCCATTCAAGTTGCTGCAAATGCTATTAATTCATTCCTCTTTATGGCTGAGGGTTAGATAGTTAGTTATTGTCACAATGTCTGGAGGGAACTAAAGGGCTTTATTGGATCTTGCCATCCCTGCAATGCGTGGGACAGGCCTGTATGGCAAAGAAACATCCTATCTCAAAGGACAAGAAATAGTAAACTGTAGAAAAAGAGGTCATTCTGACGCCACTTTAGCAGCAGAAATCATCATAGATTTTGGTACTCAGGTAGCTATGGTTTCCTAATTTCCTGATTGGATATCCGCCCCACACCCCACCTTTTCTTTTTATTTGTTTCCTTTGCTCCTTTTTGGAAAGAACACACGGCTCATTTATCTGGTATGAAGTTTTCTTTTTTCCTATAATGAAGTGGCATCATTCATCGGGGTGACACCTGAAGTTCATTGTCCCATGCCAAGGAAAAAGGAAATGAAGAATGCAGACATAGAAGGAGTGAGGTTGGGAGCAGAGGCAAAAGAAAGAGAAAAGCTCTCTCCTGCAGAGAGAGAGGTCCTGAGCAGGTCCTCCAACCCACAGTGGTTTTGTAGATGAACTTGAGGTTTTGTAGATGAACTTGAGGAGGCGGCTTCCTATTTACATAGGGCGTGAAAGATTGGTTGGTGAGCCATCTGTATAGAATGCAAAGAACTGGTTAGGACTAGGTGTACGATTTTCATAGGGTGAGAAGAAGCTGGCCACCCCACCCTAACCTTTTATTATGCAGATGTGGTCTCTACCTGGCCAGGGCCACCTTGCCTGTTTCTTTACTGTACATGTGGTGACAAAGAAAAGGGAAGATGGAGCCTCCATGTTGAAAATACCTGGCCCCCAAAGTGGCCCTTTTTTATTGGCACAGCTGCCAACATTCCCTCGTGCAAACTTCCAACTTGCTTATCTGTGTCTGCAGCTCAATTTTTTTTTTAATTGTACTTTAAGTTCTGGGATACATGTGAGAAACGTGCAGGTTTGTTACATAAGTATACATGTGCCATGGTGGTTTGCTGCACCTGTCAACCCCTCATCCAGGTTTTAAGCCCCGCATGCATTAGGTATTTTTCTTAATGCTCTCCATTTCCTTGCCCCCACCCTCTGACAGGCCCTGGTGTGTGATGTTCCCCTCCCTGTGTCCATGTGTTCTCATTGTTCAACCCCCACTTATGAGTGAGAACACTGCAGATCTATTTTTCAAGCTGCTCTTTGTTAGAAAAGATACAATTTGAGGGCTGTTTTTGTTAGAAAGGAAGCCTTGCCGAGGACTCCTTTATCCTCACTATCTGCCTAAATAATTTCTTTCTGCCTCCTGTATCAGTATGATTTTCCCATTTGTGATGGTCAGTTTTTTGCACCAACTTGAGTAGGCTGGCGTACCCAGCAAGTCAATCAGGCACTGATCTAGGGGTTGCTGTGGAGAGATCTCGTAGATGTGGATCACGTCCACACAGTTGGCCCTCCCTTATCTGTGGTTTTCTTTTCATGATTTCAGTTATCACTGAAACCACGGTCTGAAAATATTTAGTAAAATAATTCCAGAAATAAACAATTCATGAATTTTAAGTCGTACACCGTTCTGAGTAACATAATAAATTCTTGTGATGCCAGGTCCCATCCCATAGGGACATGTATCATCCCTTTGTCCAGCGTGTCTGCACTGCATACACCACCCAGCATTAGTCGTTTAGTGATCTTCTAGGGTGTAAGATAAAAATACATAGTATCTATAAAGTTTGGCACTACCTGCAGCTTCAGGGGATCTTGGAATGCACTCCCTGCAGAGAAGGCAGGGGGTGGTGACATACTGAGTTGACTTTAAAGAAAGTAGATTATGCTAGATAACCTTGGTGCACCTCAAAGCCTTTAAAAGAGAAACTGAGATTTCCCTGAGGAAGAGCCCACCTGAGGACAACAGCATCAGCTGGATTTCCCAAGGGTTTCCAGCCTGCTCACCCACCCTATGGATTTCCAACTTGCCAGCCCACAAATGTGCAAACCAGTTCTTGAAACAAACCTATCTCTCCTCCCTCTCTCTTACTCTCTCAATCTCCTCTCCTTCTCTAGACAGATAGATGGATATTATATATACACGTATACACATACAATTTCTAGATGATATGTTAGTTCTGTTTCTGTATAGCACATGGCGTTTCATAAGTGTGTGGTGCATGGAGAAGTCTCTTAGGTGGGAGTAAGATTCTAACACCAGTATGAGAATGCATTTGGCCAAAACTATTCTTGAAACTCTCTTAAGACAGCTGCAGACACCTTTGAGGAGTGCAACGCAGCTGCTGTGTTACCCTCCAGGGTTGAAAGAGTTTAATGTTTCCCTGTGAGCAGCAGACAATGAGTTGGTTGAATTTTGGGGTTAAAAAAGGGACTATGTATAGCATTGTTGGAATTACACACAGTTGGACAAAACATTCACAGGGCCAGGTTCTTTGGGGACTGACTGAGGAAGCTGAAGGAGCATCAGAGATACAGCTCCCAACTCAGGCCCACCTGGGCTCATGCTCAGTGAGTGAGATGGTGCACAAGGTTGTCCAAATAAATAAACTCGCTGGCTCTTGGACTGGAGCACATAGAGTAGAATTGGAGTCAGTTCCATGCACATGCCATGCATCCCCACTGTAGGAACAAAGGGTCTTAAGGCACCGGGAGAGGAAAAGTCCACTCTGAAGTTGCCTGGGAGAAGGTGGTCAGGTCACTCCAGGTGGCGAGGTGTGAACAGGTGCTCAGCATGCTTGAGAAAATGGAAGAATCCTAGTGGTGCCTCCTCTGGATGAGACCCAAATCCCATGGGTGACCACTGCCTGCTGCACAAGCCCAACCTGCTGTTCCCCATGCCGTGCCAGACCACGTGGTGGTGTCAGAACCACCAGCCCGCCAGAATCTCGGTGGAGCTAAGCGCTCAGACACGGCAGCTGTACCACGTAGGTGTGAAGTTTCAGCTTGTCACTTACTAGCTCTGTGATGTTGTAAAGTTCAAAGTCGTTCTGTGTCTCACTATTTTTTTAACCTGTAAAGTGGAGGCAATAATGCATGTTTCAAAGGCTCGGTATGAAAGTCAATGAGCCTTTGAAGGACGCACTCTTATTAGCCCCATTTTCTCACAATTTCAACCTACCTGCACTGCCCCACAGGGGTGAAGGACAGGCCACTCTACTCCTTATGTCTCTGCTCCCTTCACTGGGCAACGTCTTCCATGAGGGTCTGGGCTAATTCGCCCTATGCCCCCAGAGACGCAGATAAGGTGTGGTCCACACAAGGCAGCCAGTAGATGTGCATCATAGATATTAATAGAATGGATTATACATATTAATGTCTGACCCCACTTAGAGGATTGGAAGTTTTCAGCACTAAAAGCCTACCCTAAACTCAGCTTCTTAGATTTGCACAAATCTTGAGATGTTTGGGGCCTTGAAGTTTTGCTTAAGGAAATTCTAAATAGATGCCAGCATGATTGCAGAGAAAAGAGAATGCTTATACATTGTTGGTGGGAGTGTAAATTGGTTCAACAATTGTAGAAAGCAGTGTTGCAATTCCTCAAAAAGCTAAAAGTAGAACTTCAATTTGACCCAGCAATCCCATCACTTGGTGCATAACCCAAGGAATATAAATCATTCCACCATAAACACACATGTGCACAAATGTTCACTGCAGCCCTGTTCACAATAGCAAGGACATGGAATCAACCTAAATGGCCGTCAGTGGTGGACTGGATAAAGGAAATGTGGTACATATACACCATGGAATACTATGCAGCCATAAATGAGCTCATGTCCTTTGCAGCAACATGAGTTGAGCTGCAGGCCGCTATCTTTAACAAACTAATACAGGAACGGAAACCAAATACTGCATGTTCTCACTTATATGTGGGAGCTAAATGATGAGAACACACAGACACATACAGGGGAACAACTCACACTGGGGCCTGCTTGAGGGCAGAGGCTGGGAGGAGGGAGAGGAGCAGAAAAAATAATTATTGGGTACTAGGCTGAATAACTTATCTTTACAGCAAACCCACAAACCCCATAACATGGGTTTACCTATATAACACACCTGCACATGTACCCCTAAACGTACAATAAAAGTTAAAATTAAAAGAAAAATAGATTGCACCCTGTTTTCACATCTGTTTATTGCTTATGTATGTTTCTTCTTGGGTGAAATGTTTATCTATTCTGTGTGTCTATATATGTTGGTTTTGATTTGCTAAAGCTCTTTCTATATTAATAATGTTAACAAAGTTTAATATTATCCATATAAATCTAATCATATTAACTTTTTTGGTGAGCCACAAAAATTCCAAATTTGAAATCTATGAAACCGCATTGTAAAGGAGAGGTATGCCATTTGATCATTGTTCCACTCTTTGATTAGAACTGCATTTATACTTGAGAAATGGGAACATATAATGTTTCAACCATAAAAGAAGATTAAAAACATTAACATAAAGCACTGTGGGAAAAAATAAGATTAAAACTTGCCTTCTGTCTTGGCACAATTATGCATTCCTCCCCCTGAAATTACTGTAAGGATATAAATTATCTCAGAATCCCATTGCTGTATTTAGTATTCCTCCTCCAGCCTACCACAGGACCCTGTGTTTAATGTTAGCAATACTCAAATTTATCTAAATCATCCTTTTATGCATTAGTCTTTCATTTAAAAAATAAGTTACTTGAATAATATTTCATTATATGATTATGCTACATTCTGTTTAGTTACTCGTCAGCTGATGGACATTGGGCTGTTGGGCTAGCGTTAATAGTGCCGCAATGAACATTCTTGTGCAAGTTCTTGCTCAAACACATGGTGGAATAGGGAGGAATCTGACACGGATGATCCAGGTGATGGAAATCAGACACAAAAGGACACACACTGTGTGATTCCATTATTTGAAATGTCCAGAATAGGTAAATTCACAGGAACAGAAAGTAGATTTATGGTTGGGAGGGGCTAGGAGGCGAGGACAATGTGGAATGATTGCTTGAGAGGAAAGGCGCTTTATTTTGGGATGATGAAAATGCAGGGTTTTGTAGAGGAGATGGTTGCACAACGTTGTGAGTATACTAAATGCTGCTTAATTGTTCCCTTGAAAATGGTTCACGGTCAATTTTATATAACGTGAATTTTACCTTAAAAGTGCACACACGTTTATACATGCATATGCATATATATGTATAAGAAAAAAATACATTATTTCTCATGAATATTCATATTAGAAAGAGAAAAAATAGAGATGGAGAGCACATCATTTACTTCTAAGTCACCATGGTTTATCTCAGTCTCTCACACAGAAGCCACTCAAGAAATGTTTTTTTGTTTTGTTTTGTTTTTTGTTTTTTAATTTTTGTTGTTGGGAGGTTGGTTAGCTCACCAACTGAGCTAACCGGCTGCCTGACTCAAGAAATGTTTGAAGTAAATTATAGGAATTAAAATTCAATCTTTAATAAAACCCATTTGGGATCTGATATTTTATATTATCTATTGTGTAGCTGGCCAAAGAAGAACCCATTATTCTTAATGTAAGGTGTATGAAATGTCGGGCTGCTGGCTGTGGTTTAATTCACAATACAGCCACCGTTGGTAAAGTTCCTTAGGATTTATTAAACCTGCTTATCCTATGTGAGTATAATTCATCACATCTAGCCCAGGTAGCTTCATTTCTCCTTGGGACTGTGAGAAATGGCACTTAGGAGGTACACAGCCTATTTTAGAGTTTGGGGACTTAAATTTCTCTTATTTGGTAACATCCTCTGGCTTAAGCACACAGACACTATCTTTGGATTTTGCTGTCTGATTAATGGCCATGTCTACACGGGTTGCTTGGACTTGGAGAAAGACAGTAGAAAGAAAGAGGTGTTTGGCAATAGTAAAGGTGGTGAAAGCCCTTTTCTCAGCAGACAAACCCTGAATAGTCAGCAGCTGATGTGAGCAAGACAGCTCTCTTTTATCGTGGAGTTCATGGGGTGATGAGCCAGCCCTGTCTGTGCAGGATTGTCCCAGCATTAGCAGTAAAAGTCTCACATCCAAGACAACCTCTTCCGCCGGACAGAAAATGCCCTGACTTTTGGCAATAAGTATGTAAGATTAGGAGAAAAGTACAAAGCCTCACATCGGCTCTGAAAAATAAGGACCAAAAGCAGCATCTTGACATCACTGAGTGACGCCACTGAAGTGTACAACTGGAAATGTGTTGTCATGGTAATGTTACCAGCACATCGTTGACTTTGCCTGTAGAATAGCTGTTGTTCTTTGTGTCAAGGTAACTATAGTTTAATATTCAACTTTTAACATTGTGAAAATTAGGACTATGTTTTCAAGAGTTTAGTTAGTAAGAATGAGAACAATTGCAATAATAGCACCATATGACCAGACATCACCAAACAAAAAAAAAAAAAAAAAAAAAAGAGAGAAAGAAGAAAGGAAAAAAAATTACTGGTTAATTAATTTGGAGGTAGATTAGCAGGTAAATTATTAGCAAAAAGCATTTTGCACAATATGCAGAAAAGAATTTGGGATTGGGCCTGATGGAAAAGAGGATATCAGAATGCATATGGAAATTCAATCTCCCCCATCCAGGATGAGCCAGGCAAGTTCTTCCAAATCAATCAAAAGTATTTTTGTCTTTCGGGAGCCACCAACGCTCAAGTGAAAATAGTGGCCACTGAATTCACTTGGCAAACCACACAATCATACATATACGAACATAACGTCCCCTTAATTGTACTAGGACTGAGCAGAGCTATATTTTCTATTTCAGAGGTTGCAACTAACATGTTCCTTAGGCAAACAACAACAAAAAAGAAATTTCGATAACAGATATGTTGGCCCTTTATCTGTAGAACTGATTTTATCATGCTTTTTACAGTGTGTCAAATAATGTGTTGAAATTACAACATAAAAATGTCCCCCCAGCTCTAATGCAGTTTGCTTTATTTTATTTATTTACTTTGAGACAGGGTCTTATTCTGTCACTCAGTCTGGAGTGCAATGGTGTAATCTCGCCTCACTGCAACCTCTGCCTCCCAGGTTCAAGCAATTCTCCTGCCTCAGCCTCCTGAATAGCTCAGACTACAGGTGTGCGCCATTGCCACCCAGCTAATTTTTGTATTTTTAGTAGAGATGGAGTTTTGCCACATTGGCCAGGCTGGTCTTGAACTCCTGACCTCAAATGATCCAGCTGCCTTGGACTCCCAAAGTGCTGAGATTACAAGCATGAGCCACCTTGTTTGACCCTGCAGTTTGCTTTAAAAAATAGAGCTTCAAATTGTTTTCTTGGTTTTGTTGAAGATTTTATTTTATTTTTTAACTTTTATTTTAGGTTCAGGGGCACATGTTTAGGTTTGTTAATACAGGCAAACGCATGTCCCAGGGATTGGTGTACAGACCATTTTATCCCCCAGGTACTAAGCCTAGTACCTCATAGTTATTTTTTCTGATCCTCTCCCTTCTCTCCACCTTCTCCCTCATGTAGGCTGTTTCTCTTGTTCCCCTCTTTGTGTCATTAGTTCTCATTACTCATCTCCCACTTATAAGTGAGGACATGTCGTATTTGGTTTTCTGTTCCTCTGTTATCTGGCCAAGGAGAATGGCCTCCGGGTTCATCTATGTTCCTGCAAAGGACATGATTTGTTCTTTTTTATGATTGCATAGTATTTCACGGTGTACATGCACACATTTTCTTTATCCAGTCTATCATTGATGGGCATTTAGGTTGATTCCATGTCTTTGCTAATATAAATAGTGCTTTAACAAAAACATATGTGTCTGTATCTTTATGGAAGTGTGATTTCTATTCCTTGGGCATATACTTGGTAATAGGATTGCTAGGTCAAATGATAGTTCTCTTTTGAGCTCCTTGAAGAATCACCACACTGCTTTCCACAATGGTTGAACTAATTTACCCTCCTACCAACAATATATAAGTGCTCCCTTTTCTCTGCAACTTCGCCAGCATCTGTTATTTTTTGACGTATTAATGATAGCTGTAAGGTTGACTGAAAAGATGGAGAGGCAGACCCAGGGTCAGGTTTAGCAAGTTTATTTCAACGTGCCAGGCTGGCTGTCTCACCACAGGCAGTGAAGGCAGCAGCCTGGCTTATACACTATGGGGATTATATGGGGGAGTTGCAGGTAGCTGGGTGCTATTCTAAGAAAAACCACATCTTGGTTCTCAGGGGCTGACATTCTGCTTAATTGGGTTAACATCCAGGGTTCGAGAGCCGGATGCGACCACATACTGGAACCTAGGTGCCCTGTTTACAAGGCTTGAGGCTGTTTTTCTTATGAGCTCGGCTTAGCAGGGGACAACAGGGAGGGGTCTATGGGCTTGCATTGCTGTGACCTTAACAATAGCTATTCTGATTTGTATGAGATAATATTTAATTGTGGTTTTAATTTGCATTTCTTTAATAATCAGTGATATTGATCTTTTTTCATATATTTGTTAACTGTATGTAATTCTTTTGAAAAGTGTTCATGTCCTTTGCCCACTTTTTATTGGGCTTCTTATTTCTTGTAAATTTGTTTAAGTTTCTTATGGATGCTGGATATTAGACCTTTGTCAAATGCATAGTTTGCCAAAATTTTCTCCCATTCTGTAGGCTGTTTACTCTGTTGGTAGCTTCTTTTGCTGTGCAGAAGCTCTTCAGTTTGATTAGATTCCGTTTGTCAATTGTTGCTTTTGTCATGATTGCTTTCAGCATCTTTGTCATAAAATCTTTCCTAATTCCTATGTCCAGACGGGTATTTCCTAGGTTATCTTCCTGGGTTTTTATAGTTTTAGGTTTTACATTTAAGTCTTAAATTCATCTTGAGTTGATTTTTGTATGTGGTTTTGGGAAGGCGTTCAGTTTCAATCTTCTGCACATGCGTGGCCAGTTAGCTCAGCACCACTTAATGAATAGAAAGTCCTTTCCCCGTTGCTTGTTTTTATCATTTTGTTGAAGAGCAGATGGTTGTAGGTGTGTGGCATTATTTCTGGGCCTTCTATTCTGTGTCTGTTTCCACACCAGAACCATGCCGTTTTGGTTACTGTATATCCCTATAGTATAGTTTGAATTTGGGTAACATGAAGATTTTAATAAAGCCAGAGATATCATCAGAGAACAGATTTCTTTTTGTGTCTTGTCAAAATATCAACTATATTTTACTTATTTATATACGTATTCAGCCACTGTGCAAATATAAATGTTGACAAATTTCACTCAGTCTGTAAATTCTTACCAAAGAAAATAATAGTTACTATTTGCTAAAGTCTAGCGGAAGTTCAAAGGAACTCTTTTCACTGGCCAGGGGGCTTGGAGGAGGTGGGAATTCCTCGCAGGTTAAAAGTCCCTGTCCCCTACATCTGGGTGGACTTCCCCCTCAGGGGTCCCCTTCCCCTCAGTGTGGAAGCTGCTTTCCCTTTCCAGGATTCCATGTTTCGGTCCCCTTCCACAATCTTCGTGGAAGCTTTCTCTTTCTCATCTTTTTCTCTCTCCTTTTTCTCTTTCTCTGTCTAAGTAAATCACTTTCTGCAAAACCTCTTTGGGGTTCGATATTTACTTGGGAGCGCATGGGGCCTGGCGTGGTCCCCTCTCCCTTTCTTGGGAGAGCGAGAGACCAAGAGCCTGGAGCCCACCTGGGAGCGAGCTAAACCTCCTCTGCACCCTGAAACCCGGAAACAGTAAGGCGTGTTCTTTCACCCCTACTGACACGATGATCACATCTCCAAGCTCTTTTGTTTTCTATTTAATTTTAGGGCAGCATATCTGGCCTGATTTATCAAAATACCCATTGTTTACTGCAGATTAATCAGAGGCAGGTGATGACCAAAGAAGGTCATTCAGGGATCTTGAAGCCACAATTACAGTGATTTCAGGGGAGATTATGTAATTCAGCAGAAACTTCCATTGTTTTCTTCCTTTGTCAAATGCATCTCACATGTTTGCTTGCAAAAACTCACAGATGGGGCAAGCTCTTTCTAGTTACTATTTCAAAATCACACAATGACAGCCCCCAATCTACATTCCTCAGCATGAAGGCCTTGACTCCTTTCTCTCACCCCAGCTCCATGGCAACCTTTTCTTCTGGCCTTCGCAGCTGCAGCTTTTGGGGAGTCCTGCTTGGGATACTATTTTGGGTGCCCTCATTAGACACAAGGTCAGTGCAACCATGTGTGCCAATTGCAGCTGCACAGAATGGAGCAATCTAGGACACTGAAAACAAACCCAGGATGCCATCTCCCTTACTTCTCACTTCACCAAGGCAGTGAACCCTCCTGAGATATCATTCATTCATGACGAACTTGCCGTCCAGCTCAGGTGAGGAGAGGGGTAGAGAAAGCTCAGCTCCAAGCAGCACGCTTTGTGTGGGGCGATTGCTTTGCATGGGATTGTCTTTGGGTCACGTTTTGTCTGGCTCTCTTCCCCAGGCACGTGGTAGGATTGCCTTTCCAAACCTTCTGGAAATTAAGGATTGCTTCATGACTTGCATCGGCCAAGGAAATGAGCATAAAAGTGTCCAATGCATTCGTCTCTATGTTTCCTCTTTCAATCTGCTGTGAACACCTGTGTTTTCCAACAGAGCTGCTACCATAGCCAGGGTCCTGGGGTAGGGCCAACACAGCACAGAAAACTCAGGGTCTATGCCCAGTGGGCACACAGCGTAAATGAGAAATCAGCCTTTGTGCTGAGGTTCTAGGCCTCCGGGATTTTGGAGATAGTTACCAGAACATAATACAAATTATCTTGACTGCAACAATGTAGTTGATAAGGGGTGTGAAATCTGAAGAATCCCAATGCCAGGTTTTAAAAACAACTTCTCAGACTAGAAGTCCTAAGACTACAATTTCTGTTGAACAAGGAGATGTTGTTCACGTCTCATGCACTCACAGAGGGCATGACCACAGTGCGGGCACATAGAGAGCAACTGAAAAAGCAAAGAAACATCCAGGGGCACCAGACGATCTTCACATCAGCGTCTTCACATCCTCTTCTCCACCGCACCGAATACCTGCGCTTCCTTTTGCAAAACTCTCACACTCATCACCACATTTGCAGTGTTGGTATCTAGAGCCGTTTTATCCATGAGAAAATGAATATAGGTTGAAAATGGGACCCCTGATTCTATGACTTGTGTTGGTTGCTTCCTTTGCTCTGCAGCAGCTTCTTAGTTTGATGTGGTCTCACTTTTTTATTTTTGTTTTTATGGCCTATGCTTTTCATGTTACCCTGCCTTTGTTTTGGGTTAAAAATAATAATTGCCCAGGCCAATGTAAAGAGCTTTTTATCCTATGTGTTCTCCTAGGCATTTTATGGTTTTAGATTCTACATATATGTCTTTAATTCATTTCCGTTAATTTTTATATGGTGGAAGATGAGGATCTGATTTCATTTTTTTGCATGTGAATATCCAGTTTACTTCAAACTGTTTATTGAAGAGACTTTCCTTTCCCCATTGCATATTCTTGGCACACAACGAGATTCCACTTCTCACCCGTTAGGGTTGTTGTTGTCCAAAAGATAAGAGAGCGGTGCTGGCGATGATGTGGCGGAAAGAGACCCTATCTGCTGTTGATGGGAATGTAAATTGGTACAGTCATTATGGAGAACAGTATGGAGGTGCCTTGAACAACTGAAATAACACTGTGATGTAAGAGTGTCAGTTACATCAACAGGGGAAAATTCACCATAAATACGTGAAAAGTCTAAGCATTTCTACAGGCAGCCTGTTGCCTGTCGTGTCATTGATAAGAGAGGATATCTCACACAGAAACAATTTGAAGGTTTGTTATTAAAAATACGCTGGCACTATTTCAAACACAGTGGCACCTGGAAAAAACACAGGTTCAGCTCCAGTGCGGAAGAAGAGGTGAGGGTATCATTTCACGGACACGATCATAAGTGTAGCTCAGGAGAAGCTGAAATAAGATCTAGGCAGGGAAATCATTGGATAGAATCCTCCTGGTGCTGAATTGGAGGAAGTCTGATTTTATCTAAAGAAGATTTTAGGAGCTTTGATAGAGAGAAAGGAGGAAAGCAGAAAGGAGAGGGGGAGAAAAAAGGAGGTTCACTGCACAGGTACAGTGGATAAGTTCAGTTCTACCCTTCTCCCCCAGCAGGGATGGGTTCAGCAAGAAGACCATCATGTAAGTTGGTCTGAGCAAAAGTGTTTCCCAGAGAGTAGGACAGCAGGTAACAGATGCAAAATTTTATTCTTCTGTAGGGACAAGAAAAACACATTTTAAAAGATTTTTTTTTTCAGCCAGTTTAAATAAACATTTCAGGTGTGTGCATTTAGAAAGGTATCAGCCAGAACAGCTATCAGGGCAGCGCCCACGGTCATGCCCCACTTTGGAGGAGAAGGGGTATGTTTAGGCTCTTCTTGCACTGCTATAAAAAATGCCTGAGGCTGAGTAATGTATACGGAAAAGATGTTTAATTGGCTCAGAGTTCTGCAGGCTGTACAGAAAAGCGTGGTGCTGGCATCTGCTCAGCTTCTGGGCAAGGCTTGGGGAACTTTTACTCACGGCAGAAGGAGAAGGGAGGGCAGGTGTCTCTCATGGCAAGAATGGGGGCAAGAGTGTGAGGAGGTGCCACACACTTTTAAATGATCAGATCGTGCAAGAACAAACTCACTACTGTCAAGACAGCACCAAGCCATGAAGGATCTGACCCCACGATCCAATCACCTCCCACCAGGCCTACCTCCAACACTGGGGACTACAATTCAACATGAGATTTGGAGGGGACATCTTATCTATATCAGAGCATGAGAAAGGAGCCCATCAAGGGAGTGGGCATCAAGGGAGACCATCAAGGGAGTGGGCACTTGTTTCTGGGGAGTCTACTTCTTCAGCAAATCAATAGCTGTGAAGCAGGAACTGATGGATACTTCCAGGCAGGTGTAGCCAGGAGACCTGCAGAGGCAGAAACAGTGTGGCCAGTGACACAGCAAAAGGGTCCTGGCATGACCACGTGGCCTACCACCATGGGGAAGAGATCATATCAGAGCTGGATGCAGAGAGCTGAGCTTACTACAGCAGAGCTGCCAAGTATAGGAACCACTGCCCACCTGCACCCTTCTTCACCCCCAGACCACTGGGTCTGTGTGAATACACATTGGCCAGCTCACCCAAGTAGATTCTTTAGACTTGTTGGTAGCCAATTCCAGCCCTGTCTAGTTATTTCCTCATTCACAAGTCAGGGGCACAAAAATCACACGTGTCCTTATGAAAAGATCCAGCACCCTAAGAGAGTGGGAGAAGCGAGCCTCAAGGGGCAGAAGAAAAGCACACTTTTAGTAGCATTTTAGTAAATGAAACATATATAAATTTGAGACATAGCCTGCTTTGGGCCCACAAACAAGGCTCAACTACAGAGCAGAAATGAAAACGTGATCACTCTTTTCACAGGGGCTGCTATCCAGATACTCTTTAAATATTGCCTCTGGCTGTCATCTATTTTAGCGAATGAATGGTATTAGGTAGAGAAACCTGGGAAAAGTGTGAAAGATGGGCACAGCAAACTGATCACCCCTCCTTTTTTCTCCATTTCCCTCATGTATTAATTAGGCAGCAAGCAGACATGGATGAAGCAACTCTGTCCAATACAAAATGCCCACCCAACTCCTGGCTCCCCTTCTCCTTCTCCGGCAAACATGCTTCCCTCAAGGCCATGTAAACTCTGTACTCTGCTTTTCCCAAACACAGGGCTTACTATCGTCAGATTTGATGATTACTTTTTTCTTAGGGTAAGTACGTCCCCATGAAATATTTGGGATATACTTGCACTAAAATGTATTCATGGTTGATCTGAAATTCAAATCTCACTGCCTGTCCTGTATTTTATCTGGGACTCTGGCAGGGAGTGATGCATGTCGTGGGGCTTCTAGGGGAATCAATTGCTCAGAAGCAGACAGCTCGCAAATTAGAAAGCCTGGGAAAACACAAGGAGGGAGAAAATTAAATGGAAGACACGCAAAATGGCTGCAGTCATGATGCTTTAAAAACTTAATCAGGAGAAGGTTCCTTGGGCAGAAAGTCTGGAGTCAAGAGGGCAATTCTTTTTCTTCTTTTGATTTTGCTTCTTATTCCACAGAGGAAACAGAAAATACATTTTTTCTTTGGGGTGATTAAGGCCAAAGGAAAATCTGTGCTAAAGCTCTGGCCTTACCATCTAATATCAGTAGCAAAGCAAGATTAACTTATTAAAATTTTCATAAATATTTAGGACATTGCATCCAACCACCAATGTGGACCTCTACACAGATATCCTTGACTTCCAAGCCAACTCTTAGAGTTTCCCCAGAGAGATGTTTTACGTTCTTGTCATTAGGAAAATTAAGCAAACATTTGAAATGAGCTGCAAAATCAGACTGAGGTCTAAATAATTCACAAGGAGATTACTAGACTCCTGATACAGAATGTTTATCAGAATAATAGCTCTCTACACAGTTTTTTCTTTTTTTCTTCTCTCCAGCAGCTGCTGCAACACTCCATACAATCAAGAACCTGCCTTCTCTAGTTTGTTTGTTTTGTTT